GTAGTGAGAGACAATGTGAGAGAAGGAAATAGCTGAGGAAGCGGAGACAAGTTTGCGGGTGAGAAGGGGCCGCTTCAGCTCCCTTTGGCTCCCCAGAGTCGCATGTCAGGCCCATCATATCCTGCTATCTTAATCCATGTCGCCACTGCCCGGATAATCTTACACTGGATCTTGGCTCTGCACTAAAGATCGGGTTTGAAGCAAGGGAGGGGAGGGGGGGGGCGGTTTTTTTACAGACTGGAGTGGATATTGCATTTGTGTGGAACTATTTACAGTTGCGGATTAATACACATTTGGTGGAGTAGTTAGCCGAGTATTGACAGAATTAGGACTGTGCGAATATCTCAAAAATAAACTACATTGTTTGTTTGAAAGAACTTGTCAACCTCTCAATACTTTCTAACTTCCTCACCCTGCCTCTGGCACTTACAGAATATATATTGTTTTATATTTTAAAAAAGGCGTTGAAATGTATTTAGACTGCTGGGATTTATAGTGTTTAGTAACGGGTTTTTTTATCTGGAACGGGTATTGATATTGGATATTTTGAACTATTTACAGTTGCGGATTAATACACATATGTATTGTGTATGTATATAAGTATTTATAGAAGTAGGAGTGTGTATTTGGAATGCACGCAAAAACTACATTGTGTGTATTTTACGTATCAAAGGAACATGTCTGATGTTGCAATGGTTTGGCTCATTGATGTGATTTTAATGGAGGCCTATGTCACAGAGAAGACTGACCCAATTGCATAAATAGAACAATTCAGTCCTGTCTGTCACTGATCTGAGTTGAGCACGTGTGAGAAAAGGAAAGCAGAAAAACAAATCGTACTCCCAAACTGTCACTTCTATCATGTTACCACACCAAACTTACATGATGAAAAATGTTTTCGACACTTTGGAAAGAAATGTCGCTCTCTAACATTTGAACACACCCAGAATGCAGTTGGGTTATCGAGCTAGTTTGGATGTATAAATTCACTCATACAAACATGTAAGGATGTCCATGTGTCTCAAGGGAAGAAGATGAAGGAAGTCCCCAAAAAGACATCTTAAAACACACTTCTCTCTGTCTCCTGTCACCTTGCTTCCTGTGAAAACAAAGACAGAACCTTTTAATGACATGCATATATATTGTGCAGAAATGTTGAGGTGTTGGGATTCACTTTAAAGGCAGCAGCTGACAGCTCAAACACTTTTGTTATCAGTTGCTTTGAAACCAAACCTGCCGCCCCCTGTGACAGCTTTTTTGAGTTATGGCAAAGTGAATTACTGTAAGACTGCTTGCCTGCTTAGTGTGTGTGTGTGTGTGTGTGTGTGTGTGTGTGTGTGTGTGTGTGTGTGTGTGTGTGTGTGTGTGTGTGTGTGTGTGTGTGTGTGTGTGTGTGTGTGTGTGTGTGTGTGTGTGTGTGTGTGTGTGTGTGTGTGTGTGTGTGTGTGTGTGTGTGTGTGTGTGTGTACTTAACATCTGTTTGTGTGTCTGTTTGAGTTAGGGGGACCTCTGCCATTGTTGAGCTTTTACATCCTGACAACTGGGAGCCTGATGTTAAAAATAACCGAGTGCTTTCCAATTTTGTCATCTTTTGAGACTTGCTTCTCCCGGCTGTTTTGATTTAGCGTGCGTCCCCCCGGAATGCTCGGGGTCACCGACGTCCACTTCCTGTCGAATGCCTCGTCATTGTCGCGCTCGCAACTGTCCCGAAACATATTTAAACATGCTCAAAATTAGGACACCTGGGAGAGGAAAGGCTTTGGCTGTCACATCTCTCACTAGGTGTCCCAGCTTAAAAACTGTCAGTTAAATACAGCTGGTTTTTTTCTTCTCCTTTCATCTCAGGATTATCTTTTACCTCCATTGATTTTTTTTAGAAAGAAAATCGGTTCACGAAGAGTTCTCACATGACGAACAGATTCAGGCCACGAGTATAGAAAGAAATGACAATTAAATAAAAAGGATATGTCTCTACTAAACAAAGAAAGTTAGATTCAGTACAAATGTGCAGTGTGTGTGTCTGTGTAAAACACAAGTAAATAATTTGTTCCTGTACCAAGCAGCCAAATAGATATGCATGCTATGCAAACAACAGGCTATGTAAACTGCACTGGTAGGCTAAGCAAATGCATTATGTAACTTGCTCTCAAGCATCAGATGCTTTTTGAGTATAGACAAAAAGGACACTGTTGAGATAAGGCTGATTTGAGAAAGAGCCTTAGTGTGTGGATAATCTTTCCTGTCACTGATAGACGCACATTTAGCATAGCTCGATATTTGTGTTTATACACCGGACACGTTGGGTAAAGGTTTAACAGGAAGATTCTTGTAGTCAGAGCAGGAAGGTTTTCTAATTGCAGGAGCTTGGTCAAAACACTATTTAAATATTTATATCAGAAACACATCGTCATGTTAACAGGTGGAGCCATTGTGGTGTCACCCAGTTCAATCAAATGACTGTGTCTGAACAACACTGTTATCCAACCTCTGGCACGGCTCCCCGATGAGGCCGGTCCAGTTTCTTCGCTGGTTTGTTCATTTGACATGGGAACTCTCCCCAGTGTCCACTCATCCAAACTTAGCCTGGGCACACGTCCAATCAGATGCCTCCTTTTGCTTATTCTGCAAATTGCCAAGTGGCAACTCTATAACTAACGTGTCAAGTCTTGTTTCAGTAAACAGATCCAACATCAAGAACCCAATAGAATCGCAACATGGTATACACTTTACTGTACATGATGATGTATACACTTTTTTTATACATGCACCCAAAATAGTTAGGACATGTTTGCAGTATTTGAGCAGTGAAATTATTTTACAATGTGCTTTAAAAATGTATAAGGATTTAAAAAATATACTCTAATATATTCTATATTTCCTAGACCTGTGTGTTAAGTATGTTGCTAAAAACATGGGTGCAATTAACCTGCCTTAGCACGCAGACTGGTAACAGATAAACAGCTAGCTTGGCTCTGTTTAAAAGTAACCAAAACACTTTCATTTGTTTCACTTTGGCTGAATGATAACATGAAATAACCTAGATATAAAGTATCAATGAGTGAGTGAGCTTTTTAAAATGCTCTTTAATAAATTGATAAAGCCAGACTAGCTGTTTGTAGCTGGTTAGCTTAGCGTAGCATGGAGTCTGGAGACTACATGCTACGCTAAGCTAAGCTAACCAGCTACTGGCTCAAGCTTCATAAATAACATACAGACAAGAGAGTGTCATTAACTCTTAGCAATAATTTGAAAATTGTAGTTGAACTAATACTTTAACAGCAACAGATAACACATTTTCTACATTTTTCTTTAGACACTAAAACGTATGGAGCATTTGAAGTAGTCAAGCAAGATGTCGAGTTGGTTCGGTTTGTGCATCCAAAGCTTTTCTGACGCTACACCACTTTTTGATATTTCTACTTGTCTCTTAGTTACAATTTCTATTTATTTCCTGGTGGCATTTCTGTCGTTCTCTGACTGAGAAACTCCTCTCATTGCTACTCTCTGATACGTGAGTTGCTGACTAATACTTGTTTGGGTATCCCTTGGCTGCTGAGTAACTTTGTGTTTGGTCTGAACCAGTTGCCAAACAGGGAGTGTCATTATTTGTTGGTTCTTGGACAAAGATTTGGCACTCCTGTGATTAAGGCTAAAGGTTTAGGAGTTCCTGTTATTTTGTATGCAGTAAGACTGTTCCTGTGGCTGTTCAGATCTGTGTGTCTGTGTGTGTTATGAGGCTCCATTGAGACAGTTTGGCACCCGTCCAGCTTGAACTGTCCATGGCTTGGAGGACTGGAAGTAATGGGCTCAATTCCCCAGTGGGACGGGAGGGGGACTGAATAAAAACAAGAGGGGCTGCCTGGGGACGCTGCAGGAATGACAACAAGAGAGTTCAGCACTTAGTGGACGGACGGCAGCTTTGAATAGATGCTTTATATTATGTTGTTGTTGTTGTTGTTAGCATTGCGTACGAGATATTAGAGATAACAGCCACAACTGAATCACTTTAATTAGATGCATCTCTGACTGCACTGTATTTACAAATACAGTGATATTTGAAAATTGAGTTAACCTTAGATGAGTGAGGGACTCGATGGGGGGCTAATTTTAACCTCACCGTCACTCGCTACCTTTCTAATGCACAATTGTGAATGTTAAGCTCACAACCATCTATTGTTAGTTTAAAAAAGCATCTTAAAACTGCTCAAAAACATTTATTTTCTTATTCCAAATCAATCAAGGAAATGGCATTCATTTTTATAAATTCCTGTGAGACTTATGGTACACTCTGCTTGGAAAACAAAGTCATGTGAGGAATACCAGCATCTTTACTGTAAGCTGTTATTTATTTATTTATTTATTTTTTACCCTGCCATTCAAAAACACCTAGCATTTAGATCACAAAACCAATTTCTATTGATCAAATACCAACTACAGCTGTTGCTAGGGAATATTTTCATTATCCATGATCTACCGAGTATTTTCAAAATGACAGGATTAGTCATTAGGTTTAGGAAACAGTGAGCTAGTCCTTGTTCTTCCACTGCCTATTACAATTCAAATGTCAGCCAAATATATTTTTGAATTTCTAACTAAAGGGCCTGGAACAATCAAATAATTGGCCTTTTGCATTGAAGAAAGGTCAATGCATTTCTGTCTGGCAACATGCAAACACATCCTCATTCCACAACAATTGGTGCGTGATTATCTTTTGTCTCTCTTACATGAAACTATGTTTTGGCAAAATGTCTAAGTTTCATTACATAACAGCAATTCCTTGGCAGTCATGTAGTTTTGGATTCTTTGGTAACGATTATGTAGGCTGGTAAAACCTGCAGATCCTGCTCTAACTAAAAGACGAGGAAGTGCGCTAATTGCTAACCTGTTTGCTCCTGAGTCATAATAATTGGACATGTCATCATCCTACAAACGTCATCTTGCTTCTTGTTAGCCTTCGCCCTGACCCTTCCTCTCTTACCTGATGTTTTTGTCCCCTGCAGACCCCTGTCTCATCGTGATGCCGCCATGCATGGGCGAGGAGGACCGCTTCAGTCTGGATGCGCTGCGGCACATCCACAAACAGCTGGACGACGACAACGACGGGGGAATAGAAGTCAACGAGAGTGTGGAGGTGAGCTTTGGGGTTTAGGGTCGTTAAAGGGGACACTCAGGTTCAAAGTGTTGCCTGGAAACACACGACTATGCACCTGGGTTGTAAACAACACCAGCTGTTACCGGTGTTTTGTAGCTCAATAGTTAACCAAACCAAACTTGTAAATGACAAGGGTGCTGTCACAAGAATATGATTCTTACATGTAAATATTGATATAACATTGAGTAACCGCTTGTGGCAGCGTGTCAAGCTATGTAGCTATCCAAAAAAGTCAAAGGCATTTTATTATTAAGCAGTTAGTCATCGCAGGAGAGAAACTGGTGTCAGCATTTTTCACATAGTGACACATCCTCAGAAAGGATGCTAATATTTAAAGCAAATTAGCATATTTCTTTGATATCTGTCTCGGTTTATGGATTTTAATTTATATGGATTCATCCACAACTATACTCGCACATTATCACCATTTCCTTTGAAATGCGTGTCTTATATCAAGGATTCATGGATATATTTATCATAAGCACAAACTCTACAGTTTAGTCGTTGGCAACGAGAAAGTCTTAGGCTCCTCCAACAAACCATCATGCAATATACTTAAAATAAAATAAAAATACATACAATAGGGCAATACAAAAGTACAATACACTGGTCATGAGAAAACCTTGATATTTTTGCGTTTAAATGAAAGTAAAAGCATATTTAGACGCATACAGCTCTTATAGGGTCCTAACTAGGGATGTAGTTGAAGTATGGTGGTGTCTGTCTGTCTGTCTGTCTGTCTGTCTGTCTGTCTGTCTGTCTGTCTGTCTGTCTGTCTGTCTGTCTGTCTGTCTGTCTGTCTGTCTGTCTGTCTGTCTGTCTGTCTGTCTGTCTGTCTGTCTGTCTGTCTGTCTGTCGAGGGGCAGGTTTCTGTGAGTAACTAGAGGGGTAAAACTGACATCTGAGAGTACTCTGACCTGGCGTGGCCCCGGCGGCTCTCGGTAATCAACGACTTCTTACGTTCAAAAGAAACCACTCTGGACCACGGTCTCATTCTGTGTGTGTGTGTGTGTGTGTGTGTGTGTGTGTTTGTGGTGGGTTGGTAGGAGTCATTTTTAACTGGCTGAGAAGTGCTGGTGTGAGAAACAGTTATACCCCTCAGCCCTTCGGTGGCCCCTCGGTAAAGAGCTGGACGCCTTATGAGTCGCGTCTAAAGACTCCTGAGGGTCAGTGTGAGAACTGGCCCCCTGCCCACACCAAGGCGACGTGCGACTGCATATTTCACCGACCCCTGCGTGTACTCTAACGTATAAGAGTATGTTACAGCCTTTGTCTTTATAAGGGCAATGAGCTGTGTCCGTCTCTCTCCAACTGTTTTTTTGGCCAACTCTCATTACTGAGGATTTCCAAGCGTCTTATTTGGGTCCCTGGCAGCGGCTGAGCGGGCTTTCATAACATGATGGATGCTGCTTTCACCAAATTAGTGTCCGTCTATCAGTTAGTTAAAGGAAAGGTGCACATTGTCTCGGGACCGGTAGCTGAAACTACTAAAAGGGGGTTTTATCTGTCAGGTTTCCTCATATTAAGTGATAAGGGTTTGAGTTTTAGTCTCTTGCCGATAACGGGCTGTCTGGAGTACACTCTCATAACTTGTCATTAACTCCCTCAGAGAAAATGACTCAAATTAAGAGTCTTTATGCTACTTTGAATCAAATGTCTCAATCAATGCGTTCCCATGTAAACAATGTTAAGTACATTTAAATCAATTGTGGTTTTGTCTTCTCCTGTCCATGTCGATATGTCTTCAAGCAAGACACTAAATACCCACTGTGTTTGCATGTGCCTTGTTTACTGTCAATTTCCTGTTACTGTCAGTCTCTTCCTGGCAGTGATACATTGAAGGCAGTGACACAGTTGTGACACCTTTTTGAGAAGGTGAAAAGGTGGGGGGGGGGAAGTCAGCCCGATCTGGCCTTCTGGGGACGAGACCTCTTCGCCCCTTACCCCCCTGAAAGTAACCTGACCCCCCGCTGGCACTTCTTGCTAGTTTACTCCCACATATTTTTCCCAAACTCGTGAGGTTGACTAAGATGCGAGGATGCATTTGTAACGTTATAGCCGTGGTCGAGATATCCAGTTTTTCATGACTCACATTTCAGAGATTCTTTTTGCTGGTGGTAAAAATTTGTATTTATCTTTTCAATCAATTTTTGTCTTTGTGGTTAAAAGAAATATAGGGTTATTAAAACGTTTTGTTCTACCTATTTAAGACATTGTAAAACAAAAATTCAAAGAAATAAAAATGTAATAGGTTAACCCTAAATGGGAATATTTAATATATGTTATGATGGTAAATGTTACGCTCCCGATAAATAAAACCAAATTAAATATATTCTTGACAGAAAAAGAAAACCTTGCAAGCGTCTTCACACACTTATTTATAATTATTGAATGCAGGTAATGTGTCATTTATTTGTACAGGTGATACAGTAACCAGACACCTTAAGTCTAACATAAAAAGATCTGACTAATAAAACATTGTATTTGCCTAAGCTTATTTCTACTTACACAAGTAGTTTGTTTAAGCAATGAAATGAAAACAAATACAATTCACATTAACTGTTTACAAAGCGACCTTATCAGCGAGTTACCTGGCAGCGCTGAAGAGTTACATTTGTATTACTCTTAAAATCCCGCTGTAACTTAACAACTATCAGTGTTGCTAAGTTACCGGGAAATGATCTCTCTCTGACACATTTAAACCTAGCAATGTTTCACAGTTTATAAAAGCACACATATAACGTACACACAGATTGCTTTGATGTAAACTGAGTCATTCTTGCTGCAGCATGTGACAATGTTTCTTTAATCACACCACTGACGTATATCAATAATTGCTCTCCGTTATAATGGGCCATACACAAAAAGAGCACCCATTGATGTGTACTTAAACATATTGACACTGTTCAATGGTGAGCAAACACGGATGTCGAGCGGTCGACGAGTTCCACTTCCCTTTACGACTACAGTACTTACTGACATGTTGCGTCACAGAGCTATCACTATGGCTGTATCGGGAAAAAGAAGAGGCTTTGGCTGCTTGTGAAGTTCATATTTGATTACTTTCTTGGTCAGAATCAATCGGAAAAGGTTGATTATTCGATACACAATGCCAATTTACCAGCATTGCCATACACTTGGAGCTGGGCAATATTAAGTGTATCATGTATAAGAGCAGTTTTGATCAAATACCTCCATTTCCTGACAGTATTGTTGGGTTGACGATTGATGAAACGCAATATTGAAACAATGTGAATAGTGATACAAAATGATGTTGATTTCTGGAGGTAGAGGCAAATAATAGAACTACAAGAACAGTCTACAAAAAACTTTAAATGACATCACTTCACTGTAATGCAGCCTTTAAAAATGTTGATGCATACACCTACTACTTTAGTATACTATCTCCAAAATCCAATACGTTATCTCACATCACAATATCAATATTCGATACATTTCCCAGCCCTGCATACACTCCCATGATTTTATGATATTTGAGTTGGTGTGAAATAAAGTGTATTTATAAAGTCTCTTAAGGGGTGGTGGGGGGTCTGTTGCTGAGCGCAGTCACAGGGCGACAGGTGCACGTCCTCTCCTCGGGGTGCTGGGAGATCCGTGTGCCAAGGAGACACTCGGTTGGATCGTGTTGCATCACTTTGAAATCACAAGAACCCAACTAACGTCACGGCAGGGCCCAATGTCTTCGTGTGTGTGTGTGTGTGTGTGTGTGTGTGTGTGTGTGTGTGTGTGTGTGTGTGTGTGTGTGTGTGTGTGTGTGTGTGTGTGTGTGTGTGCTTTATTAATCCTTGACACGCCATGTGTAGCAACCTGGTTGAACAATTACGCTTGTGAGATCTTCATCTGTGCAGGCATGTTGTAGACATGACTCACTGGAGTTTGGGCAGTAATGAACAGAAGAAACTCGAGGAGCGTCTAGGTTGTATCTGTAGAAAGGAGATTTGAGAAGTTTTTTGTTGACTTGTCTGGGAATGTTCTAATCTAGAGGGAACAAGAGCAGTGGCGGACTGGCCATCGAGACGTTCGGGAAGAATCCCAATGGGCCGGTCGGACGATGTGGGCCGGTCGGATAAGTCACTAGCACACCCCCCCCCTCCCCGTTGACAATTTACTAGCGGTATTTACTTGCGGTACCGAGGTGGGCCAGCCGGATAAGTCACTAGCAGACCCCCCCCCCCCGTTGAGAAATCACTAGCGGTATCGAAGTGGGCCGGTCCCAATATCGCGAAATATCAGTAATCTGTATTGTAGCGTAGGGCCTTACAATGATGTGTATATGTATGACAACAGTAGTAGCAAATAAATCAACAACCAGTGACGCTTTAAATGGACAAATAGCTAGAAATAGAAAATCTGCTAATTTCTTCCATAATAGCGTTCACATGTTTTCCCAGGACACTTCATATCACTTTGTATATCAATAATGCAGCACCAAATGGCAGATACTGTAATGGATCATTTTATATATACCAACCGCCCTGATTCAAAACGTGGACGAATACTAGATGCATGGATATATTATCAGGATTTACTTTTGTGAAGCCTAGTGTTTATTTGATATGGGCAAGTGAACATTGTCTTCAATCAGAGAACATTGTGATGCAAAGACAGCCACTACTTTGATCTTGGGCAAAGCAACACGCCTCACTGAAAATCAGGGAAAGCACGAGGAAGACCTTATCGTACGGGGGTTGTTTCACAATCCAGCGTGCCCAGTTGTCTTTTGTGATGAATCAGTTGTGCTCCGAGTTGCTCTCACGTTACATAAATCAAAAACAGCTTACCTTTTGTCCCGAAATAATAACATTGACTACAATAAATCAATCAAACAAGCCTTTTCCTGCACTTTCAAACTACTGACGGGTTTGACTAATGTTGATGTGTGCTGTTGAAGCAGATGTGGAAAGATGTAGTTGATATCAGAAGTGCATAGAGTCACAGTTGACTGTTGTGGAGCGCAA